AGACCCGACCCCCGACCCGCGGGACCCCCGCCGGGGCCCCGGGCCCGGTGGTTGACATGCACCTGATTCCTGCCAAGGATTTTCATAGGAATTTCTTACTTGGGCCACAAGTGACCAAACTTTTCGGACAACGCGGTACAAGAACTTCCGTTGAAACGTCAACTGCAATCAACAGATTCCCGCCAATGCCTTTAGGAAATCAGCTGCAATTAACAGATTCCCGCCAATGCCAAGGATTTCCACGGAAGTGGATTTCTTGAACCACAAGTGACCAAAAGTTTCGAAGAACTAGGTTGCGAGCAACTGATTCCCGCCAAGTGGCTTTCTTGAACCGCCACGTGACCGCAATTTATGAAGAACCTACCAATAATTTTTATGAAAGTAGCTTTCATGGGTCCCAATGGACAAAATTTTGAAAAACCCACTGGTAGGACTCCCATTAAAACGTGATCTGTGAGCAACTGATTCCCGCCAAGGATTTCACCGGTTGAACAGCCCGCGGCTAGAACTCGCCCCGAAGTAGGAGCTGTGAACAATTGATTTCCGCCTAGGATTTTGACGAAAGTGGATTTCAAATGACGAAAACGTCGAACAGCTCCGTACAAGAACTTCCATCGAAACGGCAAAATTTTGAGGAGCCCACTGCTAGGACTACTTCTCTCTCTCTCTCTCTCTCTTTCTCTCTCTCTCTCTCTCTCTCTCTCTCTCTCTCTCTCTCTCTCTCTCCCCCCTCCTAACTCTGTCTCTCTCTCCCAATCTCTCTCTCTCTCTAGGAACTGTACTTGGACTTCGTTCAGGGGGCAGGACTTTCGATCTTTAGGCCAAACTCCCTAGCTCTGCATCAACTTTATTTCTCTGGCTGTTTGCATCTCTCTCTCTCTCTCTGTGCACTTGAGATTTAGGGATCGGATCCGACAGTGCATGAATTTCTCTTTGACTGTGTGTCTACCTGGCTTTATTCCTAGTTTGCACGAATTAAGCTAATTTTGTTCCTCTCTTTTGTTGTTACTCTTAATTCTAAATTCTTATGTCAGATACAAGGATATAGAGCTATGTATCATGCCTTGCGTGAATTTCTCTTTGCCTATCTGTCAACCCCTCCGACTCTGCAAAATTATAGAGCTAGAGAGCTACTCTACTACTCTGCAATGATTTCGCTATATTGTTGTCTTTACATGAATTTCTCTTTGTCATTTACTTTCCTTTAATAGACGTACTTCAGTCAAAGGGATACAGGGCTACATTCAACTCTTCATCAGTTTCGCTTAGTCTCTCTCTTTTCCAGTCTCTCATTCTTTCTGAGGGAACTGCATGGATTTATCATTGTCTGGAATTGTACTTAAACTTCTCTCAACGGGCTGTTGTTTTTTTTCCTCTGGTTCTTTCTCTCTCTCTCTCTCTCTCTCTCTCTCTCTCTCTCTCTCTCTCTCTCTCTCTCTCTCTCTCT